GTTGACCTATCATCTGCCCTGGATGCCTTTTTATGGGGATTACTATAGAGGGACTGTTATACTGGGAAAGGCTTTGCATAGTTTGTTAGTTTGGTTTGGGAAACAGATACCCAGATCTTTCCATCCCTTCCAGCTCTTCAGCCAGACAAAAAGAGACCTAGCAATACATGGATGAATCAGAAGGCAGAATGAGTGTGTGTATCAGCTGATTTCAGGGTTGAAACCCTCAGTGATGTCTTGAATACCAATCTTCAGTCAATGAAAGAAGGACTTCTGCTGTTACAAGCATGTTGTAGTCATTTCTGCAAACCATATGACATCAGTGATACGACTGATGGCATTATGAAACAGGGCTCTGATCTTCAAATTGGTTTGACAGATGGCAGCTCCTCAGACACTGGTGCTGTGTAAATGTGTGATAAACTGAAGGCTTTGCCTACTATTAGCCAGCAAAAAGAAAAAAAATCCAAGTCTAACTGCATTAGAACAAATTGTTGACATTAATGTGGTGGGAGTACTTCCAAATGTGGCTGCATGCATCACACATTTGGCTGTTAGAACAAAAAATCAGGGGGGCACAGCTTTCTGTTTCTGAAGGCTATTTTTCCCCCGCCTCTCAGTTTTTAATTTTCATTCCAAAATCACTTCATTTACAGGAAAACACCCACCCAAAAGTTCTGGATACCCTCAAAATAATTCGGGTACACCATTGCTTCAGATAGCAAACCAGTTCTATCCTGTCAATTTTTTGTACACTCAGCATATTTCCCTGTCCATCAACAGACATGCAGCCTGGAAATTCCTTTGCATTTCTCCATGAGTTAATCCCACCCACATAATTCTCTTCTCCCCTTCTTTCAAAGATACCTGGAAAAATTATACTATAAACTGCACCTGCCTTTTCCATATCTGTATCATCAATATTTATCACTCTCTTAATCAAGATATGCTGACCAATGAATATCATAACATGACATAGTCTATAATACATTTTATAAGTAAGAGTAAAATTATTTGCTGTCATTGGTTTATATTTCTATTTTATTGACCTTTTAATTCGAGTTTGATAGCTTAATTTTTCTTTTAAAACAATCCTCAGAGTCTGAGTAGTTATATACAGTGCAATAAATGGAGCTACAGGTCATCATTCATTTCCTTCTCAGTATAAAACCACAACCACAACTAAATAATATTTCCAGTTTATAGAGTGTCATTTGGAGTAGTTAAGAACAAAAATAGATCCTTCCCCATTAACGGAGCCATGACTCACTCTGGATTGGTGTGGAGGAGTGTAGCTGTGGTGGCAAGTGCAAGACTCATGTAGCTGTGCTGAAGTCAGCTGAGTTACACCAGGGATGAATCAGGCCCACTGTAGATGAGAACTCACTCCCTTTATGAAATGGTCTTCTGATTTATCATAAAGACATTTATGGCATATTAAATGTGCTAATTATGGAGCTTGTATAGGAGACTGCCCAGTCCTTCAAGATGCTGAGCCCTTAGAGCTCCTTTTCTGCCAGTGAGACTTGAAAAAATGCAGTTCCTTGAAGGTGGCACTCAAGACCTAGAAGAACTGGCCCTATGGCCCTTGTTCAGGCTAAACTGTGGGACTGCCCCAAAATCTCCTAGTGCCAGGGTAAGGGATCTCCTTCATTGCACTTGGGTTTTGGAAGGAGCTCTGCACAATGGGTCAGGACATGAGAAACTGCACCTCAGATGAGACTTTGGTCCCTAACACCTATTTGGCCTGAAGCTCAGCCCTGGAACTAGGAGCAAGGATCATTCTCCTCCCATTGCTGACAGTAACAAAATATGCAATTAAACAGAAGCCTGTAACTCTACTCTCCATTTGACCTTTTCTTGGCTAATGTAATCAGAATGAAGACCTTCCAGCACCCCTTACTGATGTTCCTGGCCTCCTCTTCCAGTGGCTGGTAATTTTTTCCTCAGCTCAATAATTTAGTTCGATATTCATCATTTTTTAAATGTCTCACACACCTTTCCCCCCACACATTTCTTTGCTGAGGTATTACTTTTCTCTAAGACGATTTGCCAGATCTTTTGTTCATGTTGTGAATTGATCAGTGTAATTGCTGGGCAACATTTATCTTCTGTGAACATTTTGCATTAGTTACTTATTCAAAGTGTTTGAATGGCCAACAGCTGACCTAAGTGATTTTCTGTTGTCACCTTTTACAGTGAGATGGCATAGGTATTTCAGGCTTTGTACCTGGTTGCGTCCATGTGCAAGGACTTGAGGAAACAAAATCTGTGATACAAAGTCTCCCTTAATCTCTCAAATAATTTAAAATTGTGAGGTTTTGCATATGGAACAGAAGGGATCCAATTTGAAGCTGATGTCCTCAGAGACCCAGGGAGACTGCCTAATGCCTCTAACCTGTGCTGAAAATTTCCACCCAGTTTTCTCCTGGGAGAGGGAGGAATGGGCTGTGTAGCAGGTATGATTGAACCACACAGAATCACAGAACGTTAGGAGTTGGAAGGGACCTTGAAAAGCTGATTGCCTCTGTTCTGTCAAAATGCTAACTTGAAATATCTTCGTTCACTGTGATTGCCCTGCTTTTCATCTCATCCCTACATCCAGGAGCTTATTTTAATTTTAAAAATGTCCATTCAAACTTTGCCTATATTGACCTATTTTTCTGGCCTTGTTGCTGTGATTAATCCTCATCCTGTAAGGTGACAAGAAAGCCAACCACAGAAATCTTAACTTCTTTCACCTTGCAGAGGTGGAGAGACAAAGCTTTAATTCTTCAGTCTCTGTGACTCTTTTCATCTGTAGATTGCCTCCTCATTGCCTCTCCAGCTTGTTCCTGAGGGAGGACTTGGGTTCTTCACTCCTTCTTCTTGACCCCCATAGAAGCACTGCAAGGCCATTTACTCATTTTGGTTGATTATCCAGGGAGAAAGAGGCAATTTGCTGGAGTCCATCACTTTATGACCTCCTTCACTATGGAAAATCTCTCCAGAGGACTTCTTTTCCTTCTGCTCTTTTACCCCCCACTTCTCAATAAAAATTCCTGAAGAATAAAGGTGAAAACCCTTTGGGAATGCAGGAAAAGACAACTAAGAAACAACTTTCTGTGCTTAGAAAATTCAGCGGCAGAAAGGCAGGTGTTTTCTGAAGAAACTGATTCAGCACTAATCACCAAACAGTTAAATGGCTTGCCATCTGAATTCTCCTACTTGACAAGAAATACATTATAATGAAAGAGCACCACCTTGTTTATTATGCCAAGTATTGCCAACAGTGGGTATTGAACTTTATTAAAATGTTTCCGGTAACACTTTTTGTCAGAAAACCTCTATTATGTGGTTTAACAGGGAAGGTTATGAATGTCAAAGGAAAATACTTTTTTTTGTCTGAGAAATCTTCTATTATGTTTGTATATAATTCCATAACTTTAAATCACAGACTGCAAATCCAAAATTTAAGGTAAACCTCCATCAACCTCTATCGGCTCCTGTATGTACACGATGGGGCCGCCACAATATCCCACAAAGTCCTGTTCAAACTAAGAAATAATTTGTCTTCATGAGTCATTTTTAGATTGCTAAATATTCCTCCCATGTATGGCAAGCAGTTATAAATAATTTTCACCTCTAGATTATCTCTTGATGTTTTTCAAAAATGTGCATGCTGTTACTGATGCAGTCAGAAGCCACCATAACAGTCTTGTACCAAATATTGTCCAGGGACAACTGATTGAATGGAAAGGATTAAACTTTATGCTGTATGCTGCTGATGGATTTCAATGTTTCCCTAGCCACTGGGCTGCAAGAGACCTCCTAGGCCATCTAATCTAGCATTTGACATGAAGGGCTGTGCCTATGTTCATGCTTCAATTTTAACCAGGAGCATGAACCCAGCGCTTATGAACCCAGTCTCCTGATGGTCCTCACCCACAGCACTGTCATTCTCACTACAGAGGTCTCTGTGAGCACCCAAATTGGATCCCTTTCAGGCACCAAATGGCTTGACACCCCCTCAGTGTGCAACCAGTGCACATCAACCATCAAAGAGCACTCAACCACTGGGAAATGGCTACAGCTAACTGAAGTTATTGCCTCCCCCTGAAATGTGTTATAGGGTGGGTATGGGGTCCTCAGCACAAGTTTTTTTTTTTTTTCTTCTCAGAGCGGACTGTAATGTGCCACATGCCTTGTGCATGTAAACATAGCCAGTGCCTTATAATCCTGTTCATAAGCATATCAAACACTCTCTAAAACTGTTGCTCAGGGTTATAGATCCACACTGAACCCTCAGCTGTTTTGTATATGCTCTTCAGCTTTGCTTGATTAGTATTTTGTTTGACAAGTAATTAATGTCAAACATAATAACTACCAACCACAAATATATCAGTATCATTGCTACTATTTTTACTGTCATAATTTTGATCGTTTTAAACATAGATTGAGCACTTCCTAAATTTCATTGTGTGCCAAAAGAACTAGACACACTCTGCTATGATTTATAAACAACGTCATCCCAAGACAGATTTCAGCATTGTATATGTTGAAACATCTCTTCAAAAATAAATGAGTTATCACTGTGTTGAGAAGTGAACTTGGTACCACATTACTGCCACTTTCTCAAGATAATATTGGCCAAAACCATTACAGAGGCACTAAATGTATTTTTCAAATATATGGCATAAATTAAGATCCACATTGCTGTTTTGCTAGAAGCTAAGAGAGCCCAGCACCACCCTTCAAATCAGAGGTAGCTGAGAGTGGAACAAGCGGAGGAATACACATTGAGCTCTACTTCTTTACTTGTTAGCCATGTGGAAAGGAGGCAATGCTCTAGAGTGGACTGAGTGTTAGCTCTGTGCTTTCTCTTCCATCATTTACTGCTAAAATACTAAATGTCTCTAAAATCAGCGTAATGTTCCTGACTGAAGAAACTTCTGCAATGTGGAAGTGTAACTGGAAAATACAATCAAGAAATAATGCAAAGAAAATGCACGTTTATTTACTGTATCTCCACTGGATTTCATTTGCAAAGGAACCTCAAACCCCACCTTCAACAGTGTCTCCATGTCATATCCACACCTCCTCCAGACTGGCAACTGGGAAGAACAACAAAAACATTGCAGGCCTCCACTTTGGCAAAGGAACCTATATTAAGTCTGTCTGAATTATTACATTATACAGAGAGGTGAATTCTTAAAAGCTGAGCCAGAGTTACTCTGGCTGGCAAGGCTGAAAGAATTAATTAATGGTAATAAGTGGGATTGCAGAGAGAGAAGTCTTTTTGCTTCCAGGAATAATGAGAAAACAATTACCTCTACCTATGGGAAGTCTGTCCCAGCCAGGTCTACCCACCATGCTGGCCAGCAGAAAGGCCTAGCTGAGGAAAGATATGAAAAACAGTGGAGAGGAAAGAGCAGACACTGACTGAACACTTGTCAGAGTTCAAGGAGCATCTAGAAGACATTCTTAGTCATATGGTTTAGTTCTAGACATTCCTGTGAGGAGCAGGGAGTTGGACTCGATGATCCTTATGGGTCCCTTACAACTTGAGATATTCTATGATTCTATGAGGGAAAGTTTGTGACTTCCTAACTTCAGCCTGGGAGGTGGGGTGGAAGATGTAGCAAGGTGCTGAGGGGAACAGATGTGTGGTAAAAGCTTTATTAGACATTTCTTCCAAATATCAAAGGCGGTTTTTTCTCCCTCACATTCCACCCTCTCCCCAAAATCAGTCTAAATCTGAGGCTAACACCCAGGGCACTTATCCTTATAAATCAAACATTCAGGAATGCTGAAGAGCTCATTCCACTTACACAGTTACAGCTGTAATTGACTTATAAACATCTACCTCCACCCAAAACCTGTGTTTGGATATAGTGCGATACACAGTATGTGAAAAAAAAGTCAAGATATCAGCATTACAATTACCTTTGGTACAGAACTGGCCTGTAAATCTTCAGCAGGGACAGTGAACTTTGAAGACATTGCAGGAAGAGGGGCAATTCCTGTAATATGAATGTACAAGATTACTGTTATTCAGTGTCCACTGAGCCATTTGGGAATACAGCTAAATATGATATAATATTGTGAGCCAAACTCTAGCTAACTTGTTGGGCTAACATGGCATGGGTTTTGTAGTGGGGAGGAGTTTGCAGGGGCCACTTCTGTGAGGAGACACCAGGAGCTGCCCCCGGTTTGGACAGACCCAGTTCCAGCTGGCTCCAAGACAGACCTACTGCTGGCCAAAGCTGAGCCCATAAGTGAATCTGGTGGCACCTCTGTGATAACATATTTAAGAAATGGTAAAAAAATGCTGTGCAACAGGAGCTAGGATAGAAGAGCGGGAAAATGTGAGAGAAACAGCCCTGCAGACACCAAGGTCAGTGAAGAAAGGAGGGGAGGACGTGATCCAGGTGCCAGAGCAGAGATTACCTGTGGAGAAGACCATGGTGATGCACGTTGTCACTGCAGCCCATGGAGGACTATGGTGGAGCAGAGCTCCACCTACAGCCCATGGAGGAACCCATGCCACAGAAGGTGGATGTGCCCTGAAGGAAGCTGCAGCCCATGGAGAGCCCACACTGTAGAAGGCTTCTGGCAGGAGCTGTGGCCCCATGTAGGAGCAGGTTTTCTGTTAGGAACTGTGATTCTGTGGGAGATCCACACCAGGGCATTCTGTTCCTGAAGGACTATACCATGAAAAGTACACATGCTGGAGCAGTTAGTGAAGAACTGCAGTTCATGGGAAGGACCTACGCTGAAGCACAGAAACAGCGTAAAGAGGAACAATTGGCAGGGACAATGTGTTATGGACTGACCACAGCCTCCGCTCCCCATCCTCCACTGGTGCTTTTGGGGAGGAGGTAAATGCATTGGGAGTGAAGTTGAACCTGGAGGGTGAGAGTTTTCCTTTTATTTTTTTTACAACTACTACACTTTACAATACTGCATGCTCTTGAAATCTTTCTACTGCACTTATTTCTTCACAATTTATTTGTTAGAGAGAAAAGGATGTATGCCTGGATTATAGACTCTGCACAATAATTTTATGTCATTAACTGTTTGATTAAACGTTTTGATAATAATGTGGTTATAAATGCAAGCAGTGGGTAACAATTTGGTGGAGATTTGCATTTGCTTTTGAAGAGTCTTTGTGCTTAAGGACTAGAATTCATAATGTCTTAGTCATTTATCAGTAAAATCATAGTTCATTAACTGCTTTTTTTTTCCTTCTTTCTTTTCTAATTTGTTCTTTTCTGCTGTTGGTGATGGATTGTTTTGTTTTTACAGACCAACTGCACAACATTGCCCAAATTGGCTATTGTATGGGAATCCAGTACTCCCACCTCTGGCCCTAGAAAGTATTTGGAAGAACAAAGGCATTTAAAAAAACAAACCCAGGACTAAGACTAAATTCAACTGCAAAGAACTTTGACATGTTCTCAATACCTTTGAAAGGCCGTGCTCTAGAAAATCCAAAATATTCTGAAGAGGTTCAGGCCGAGCACAAGTCCTTGACAAAGTATTGTGAAATCTTGTAAATCAATTCCTTGTCCAAAATGACTACATTGAGAAGCAGTGTGACAGCATGTGATTCACCAGCTTATACTCACTTGGGCCTCGTTCTCTGTTCCACCGTTCCTCTGGAATGTATCCCTGATTTTCGCTGCCGTGCCTTTGCCTGTTTTCCAGATCACCATCTTTTTTCTGATTAAACTTTTCAGCTGAAACTTTTCTAGAAACAAGAAAGTCTGTCATTAGAACTTCATTATGATATGAGAATTTTCAGATAGTAGACTACAGAGAAAAAAATGTATGAAAAAACAGGTGCAAAATATATCTGGGCCTTCCAAGTAATTATCTAGTGCAAATCTTGTCCCATATAAGTATTACCTGTGAAATTCTGTTCAGAATGTTTCCATCAGCTGCATTATCAGAAAGCGGGAAAACAAACTGGTCAGTCTTCAAATACTCTGTTTCAGATCATAGGGTTTGTAGGAATTTAATTTTGGTCTCTACTTCTGAATTACAGGGTATTTGGTGGCCCATTAAGGGAACTCCAGCCAGGTCATTATGACAATTCATAATTTTTGTGATTTGAGCCCAATAAATTGCAAAAACAAAGCATGTTAGCTCACATCATCACAGTTAGCTCCAAAGTGATTTATCTGTATACTCCAAAGTTAATCTTTCACTTTGAAATTTACTTTACAAGTGAGCGTAGCCACAATGAAGTTGACAGAAATTCTTTGGTTAAAGTTAACACATCTCTGAATTTGCCAGAACAGTGACCTGCATAGCTACACAGTGAGAAAATATTGCCTTTGTACTCAAAACTCTTATGCTAAAAGAGATGCTACTGTCCATCTGTTTCTACTATGGTCTCCTCTCTGGGATAGTCCCAGGTCCAGCTTGCCTAGGTTTCTTGTTTGCACAAATTGATGGCAGGACTATGACAACCCAGAGATTTCTAGGGAAAGGGGGAAATATTCTCCATTAGCAATATTTGTGGAAACTACTACATCTACTTTTTTATGTTTAGGAGGAATGACTTTGCAGGTCCATAGAGCTTCAGGTGAACATTACTGATGCACACGTAAATCTGATGAGCCAGCTGTGACTACATGGCTTTTTTAGGTGATAAACATGTTAAATACCACTAAGAATCCTCTCATAGTTGATAGAAGACAAGAACAATTGTTTAGGAATATCACCTCCACACGTTACATGATACTGTGCCATTTTATCTGATCCTTAGTTCTCAACAAACTCTGTATAGTAGCCAAAATCAAAAGCAGCTACAAAAAGGTGTGGGAGGTACAGAAAGATACCCAGCCGAGTTAAAATTAAATGTGGGAAGTAGAACAATATAACTTTGATCTCACCACTTCTTCACTACTACTACAATGCAGCTTCCAAAATCTGGACATTCATCATTCTTTTTACTGCACGTAGGTTCCCCTCAAGAAAAAACCTATAAAATTTGTACGCGATTGTAAATAACTCTGCTAAAACTTTGAAAACTATCAACACTGCGTTTCTAAGTCCAAGCTGGCCATAGGGCCTGGGCTCATCCCAGTGCTTAAGTATTTCCTTAAGCATTTGCTTAACTTTCAAAGTGTAAGCAATATTTTTGTCAGTATGACAACTGATGTTTAAAGTTAATGTGAAAATAGGAACTTTACTGTAATGAGATCTAAAAACACACATTCTGTCACAAATATATAATTGTATTTGCCCCAGACCAGATTCAAAGACATAGGAAGAAAGTAATATTATGCTCTATTCTGTACTTGTTCATGCTGTCCTAAAGAAAGCACTGTGCAGAGCTGCATCAGCATGGTAGGGTCCTGAGAAGGACCCAGACTGAGCCGTACCAGTCCCCACTGCTGGGCAGATGCTTCCCTGCTTGTTCAATTGATTTTGCCTTAGCAGGGTTAACCCTTGCAGAAGGCTTTTGGCAGAACCAAGTCAGAATCCGAGTAAAAAGGCTTTGTAGGACTTTATTCATAGCAAAACCGATATGCAGGCTGCATCTGCTT